AAAGTGGCAATTGGATGCAACACATGTCATGAATTTGGAGGGTATTGAAATTCAAGATAGAGCAACCTATGAAGAACAATTGGTGAAAATTCTCAATACCAAAGAGAAGGTGTTTCGCAATAAAGTCATTTGACTGGTGAAAGTCTTGTGGCAACATCATGGGATGGAGGAAGCTACATGAGAACTAGAGCTAGAGATACGAGAGAAGTATCCTTATTTGTTCTCTACTTAATGTAAGTTTCGAGGATGAAACTTTCTTTAAGGGGGGTGAATTGTAAACCCTCATATTCTTATCTTTACATAACAACGTAATTAGTTTTGAAATGCTAATGTATGTGATTATGTATGTATGAACTATGTGGATTAAAAGAGTAAAAATAAAAATGTTAGTTGAGCTAATAGGGTATTTTGATACATCCCTAGTATTTGGATCATAACTTTTTAGTCTGATGTCCATTTGGTCTGAAATTTTGACAATAGATAGTAGACGTCTGGGGCAAAAGAGTATTTCACAAACATTTTTCAAATTGACCTCTAAACAGGCCAAAATTTCACTGAAAGTTTTAGTAAAAACTAGGAGGACGTTCGAATGTGAATGAGTCCCAATACTTTGGTGCCTACAAGCTCTGATGAAAATGAAAAAGTACTGGGAGCAACCAACGTTCGAACACCAAATGACGTTCGAACGTGAGTTACAAATTATGAGTTTCAGATTTGAGCACAAGGGACCATTTCACCCCTTATAAATACTTAAGGACACCTTCATTAGATCCATTTCAACATTTATAACCCTAGAGAGGCTTAGAGAGGAAGAAATAAGGGAAAAAACACAAGATCAAGAGGAATTTTCACATTGAAGAGGATCAAAACTTCTAGTTTTTCAAGAACACCAAGGAAGAAGAAAGGTAGGAGTTTCTTCCCACTCTTGTCCATTGAGGCTAGGGTTTATATATATGTATGTTTTGCTTCTAAATCTTAGATATATGTTATGATATCCTTGTTTCTTGATGTTCTTGCAAACCTTCTTATGTATTGAGTGAAGTTAGGGTTGAAAGCCATAAAAACCCTTGTTTTGATGTCAAAACCTAGTTTTTTTTAGAAAGATGATTTTTTTTCTCTTGATTTTTCCTTGGTTCTTGATTCAAAAACTCTAGTGCTTTATTTGGAACAATAAAAGTATATCTTTTGATGATCTCTTGCTTATTTTTCTTGAGAGGTTATATTGGATTTGGATTTACTTGTGATTTGATAAAATTGTTGGTATCGTATTTCTTGTGTGGTTGTTTGGATGAACATGAGTGACTATTGACTGGATATCGTAGAGTAGATAGATGTGTTTTTTACTCCATGCAGATTTGAATTTTTTCTACCAGTCATAGTGGGGTTGGTGCCTTGCGAGGACCAAATCACTATTCGTTCATGTGGTACCAAGACTGAGGGTTAGTATACTATTCCTGGGTTGGATTCGTCACTGTCAATGTGTTGGTATACACTTTTCCTAAAGTTGGATATCCTTGCGAAGATTGAGTGTGTGTGTGTGGGACAGGATACTCTCGATGTGTTTATTCATGTGATGTCATACATCATACCTGAGATACAAATACAAGTTGAGGCTTGAGATACATTGTGGACTATTGGGTTATTGTGTAAATGGTTGGTTATAGTATATTGTGGAAATGAGTTTATGGTGGAATTGGTTAATTGTGAAATTGGTTATTATGAAAATGGTAACTTGTTGGAATTGTTATTTTTGAGAATTTATTTTACTTTTTCATTTAATTATTGCTATTGTGTAAATTTGAAATCCATTGAAATGTCTCTATTTTCTTTCAAAAGCTATACATGATATTTGTAAAATAAGACCGACCGTTTTATATGTTTTTGAAACCTTGTTCGAGTTTGAGAGGAGTTTTCTATAGAGCTTAGTGCTCACCCCCCTACAAACAACATTCTTTTCAGATTTTGGTTTAGAGGAAGAGTTCAGAGTTGATGAGCAGGTAGCTTGGGAAACACAAATTGATGGGCATGTGGACCCGAATAAAGATGTATAGAACTGTTCTTTTTATGTCCTAGACTAGAAGGTTTATTTTGATATAATGTTCATGTTAATACTTTTCTTATTCCGCTGCAGGATAATAGTTAATTTTTGGGATGTAATTTTCGTAGTTAGTGCTCACCCCCTACAAACAACATTCTTTTTAGATTTTTATTTAGAGGAGGAGTTTAGAGCTGACGAGCAGGTAACTTAGGAAGCACAAATTGATGGGCATGAGGACTCGGATGGAGATATCTAGAACTGTTCTTTTTATGTCCTAGACTAGGAGGTTTATTTTGAGATAATGTTCATGTTAATATTTTTCTTATTCTGCTGCAGGATAATAGTTAATTTTTGGGATGTAATTGCCGTAGTTGGGTATATTCTTTTGGATTCAATGACCATGACTTGGCATATTCGTTTGGATAAAGTTGTAAATATTATAAATGATGAACGAAATTTTCTTTACTTATGGATCTTATTAGTTGCTCTCATGATGTGAATGGTTGTAAATAGTAATGCCATCCAAAGGGGATTTTGGGGCGTTACATTATTTTTGCTATGTTTATTAAGTTAATTTTTAGTTTATAGAAAAAGTATGAGAATTGATTCAATTAAGTAATAATAGAACCTTAAACTTAAATCTTTAGCGTTAAATTTTTTAATTTAAAGTTTATATGAGTCAACACAAATACGAACACACCTGTACAGGTACCCTAGCGGTGTGGAGTTAAACCTAGACAAACCGTAGACCCGGATGTCAGGGTTTTAACTCTCGCCGATGTCTCTTAGACTTAACTGATACCTGTGGTTTGCGGGTAATTGCAGGTATCCGAGGTTTACTCTCGCAAGAACAGGTTCGAAGTGGCCTTACCTTGGAGAGGTTCAACAACATAAAAAAGAAATATGAATGTGAACACGAACATGATACGAAAATAAATAGATTAGCCTAATTTTATCGAGGGGTAATATGAGTATTAAAGAATAAAAATTTGATGATGTAATCACTTTTTTGACATTACCAATAACGATGCTAACCATAGAGATACTTTGTGAAATGGGTAGGTAAACAGTAAGGGATGTTAGTATAATTTACCCTAAACTTTATAAGTTATACTAAGAATTTTTTTTATAAAAATAAAATCGTAGCATATTTTTAAGTAAAACTTGAATTCTTTAAAATTTTAAAACATTTGATAATATAAATTATAGAGTAGTATATTAAATCTTATTCTAATTGACCTAACTTATTTTTAATTGCAGTAAAGTTTCAATGTGATTAGTATATTAACAATTATTTTTATTTTATTCAATGAATTATAATTGAAATCCTAATCAAATGAATTTCAAGATATTTAATTTCTCAAACATCACTAAAAAATTAATTTTAATAACAAAATTCTAAAAATATAGGACTTCAACTATTTTTTTTTATTTTTTTATAGTTAGAACAAAGAATTTTGGAAATATATCAAATTTTCATAATCTTATAATATAATATGAGCAATAAAAAATTAAAATTTATAAATTTTATATGATATTTAATTCAGATACATATATATTAAATATATTTTTTAATTTTTGTGTATGAAAATTATTCATGTGTAGCGCACGTAGTACATTCCTGGTATAATATAAGTTGTTTCGAGAACAAGACCCAAAAATAAAGAGAATAATAAGTTGTTTCGAGAATAATTTGTGAATTATTGTCCAAACAAATTTTATAATATTTGTTCCTTAAAATTATTTTCAAAACTGTATAATCAAACAGATTTTGTAATCTAAAATTTTTTAAAAACACTTTTTTAAAATTTTTCTTAAAAATAATTTTTAGATATTTTTTTGAGATGCAAACTAAACGAATCCAAAATATTCGAGGAAACAAGAAAATCAGAAAAATGCGCGAGGAGTTGGGTGGGAGTTAATGAGATCCAAGCTTCGACTTTTGTTAGCTACAAAGAGGGAATTTTTTAAGCAAAGTATTTAGATCCATCGGCTCTGTCTTTCCTCCTCTTCTCTGTCCTCTCTCTCTCTCCATCACTTCTCTGGCCAACAACGAAGACTGTCGTCGCTCTCTCTTTCTCTCTCTGCATTGCTTCTCTGGCCAACAACGAAGACTGTCTCTTCTCCGGTAATCGCCTTTGTCTCTTCTTCGGCGATCGCCGCTGTCTTTTCTCCATCGCCTCTCTTCGCTCTCGTCTTTCCATCGCCTCTGTCTGAGTTAGATCCTCGCTGCCTCTCCATCGTTGAGTTGGAGGAAAGACCCACGCTACCTCTCCATCGCTGCCTCTCTCTCGCCTCCGTCTGAGTTGGATCTGTTATGGGTGTTGATTTATGGGTTTGGGCGTGAGTCTGTGTGTGTGTTGTGTTGAGAGCAGAGAAGAAGAGAAAAATTGAATTACATAAAATAATTTTTTTTTTATGTATTTTTTAACAAAAAATAATATAAAATTAATAAGTGGACATAATTTAAAGTAGTAATCAAACATATTTTTTATTTTTATTTTTATAATTTAGTAAAACTTTTAAACATTTTTTTATTTGTAGTGTTATTACAAAATAAAATAAAAATTATCTTTATATTTAATTTTTATAAAACTCAAAAATAAAAATGTTATTAAACTATCCCTCACCTTTGTGACTTGTTTTAAAATCGTCACAAAAAAAACTTGCGGATATTCCTCGTAGTGACATGATTTATTGTGGTAAAGAATAGACCAACTTATGCAAGAGCAGTTCACCGAACTTTTTTGTTAAATCCACAAACGCTGAGTCAGCAATTGTGAAAGAAGACACAATTTTTGTGTGATTTCTTTGTGTAAAATCGTTTTTCTAAGAATTTTGGTGTAGATTTGTGCTGTAAAAATTTGAAAAAGGCAGTAATTTCTAAATCAATTGGGTGCATTTTTTCGACACGGCGAGTCCAGAGCGTAATATCACGCGTTATCACGTAATGCGAAGAACAATGACTCGATCCAAAAAAGGCCAATATTCAAAATTCAATGCCCAAAGCGCCTTCCAAGAAAAGAGGAAGAGGACAAGAACAATAAGAAGAGGTGCTTTGAAGGAAACCTCAACGAAACCTCCTTCTCAAGGTGAGAAGGAGAACGGGTATGCTTCATATACGCGTCGAGCTCTAGTACCTGCTCTCCTCTCACCGAATTAACAATTAAGCGGTTTCTCTAACATCTTTGATCAATTTGTGATACAAATCTTAGATAATACGGATCGATTTCAAATGGTTATTGTTGATCGTTCTTAGATACTTTTGGGCTATGCTTATACTAATTTGGTTTTTGACTATTCGTTCTTATTTCTCAGTTTATGATTAGAAAATTCAAGAATATTGTCAATTCCAATTGGTTTTGGTTGGTTATTTTGGTCTTATACGTATCTGGACATTCGTTCAATTTGAAGGGCTTTTTTTGTGATCATTCAATCTTTAGATTCATGGCAGAATTGTTTGAGTTGAAGGGGTATTGATTAGTCGATCCGGGTGGTCAGTTTGTACACATCTGTTGATGTATCTTGTAATAAACAAAGAGGAGAATTGGCTTGCGAACATACTTTGTGTTCTCAGGCCTTCATCTTTGCCATTTGAGCATAAAGTTTTCTCATTTTGCATCCCAAGAGATAGGTGGGATAAGGAGTTCTTCAAACTACAGGGTGGGTAATCATTTGTATTCGTACTCATAGAGGTTTTGGTTTGACTAATTGTTTGAGCAAGAGTTTGTTGGGGATGGGTATTTCAGAAGGATCTAGCTTGTCCACAAGTGTGGCAGAATTCGTCGATAAGTCTTCTGCCCATCGAGAGGTTTCATTCATTGATAAATTGCCCATCTATGTGAGGGAGCTGATTTCTGGAGGTGCTGCTGGAGCATTTGCCAAAACTGCAGTTGCTCCCCTGGAACGAATTAAAATCCTCTTTCAGGTAAAGTTTCTTTTATGGTCTCCTTAACCCTTCTAGATTGGTTAGTTGTGATAAGCTCTTTAACTCATGGTATATGATATGTTTATATGCTTATAAGGGTTCTTCTAGTTGAACTTGGAAATAAGATTTTGTGAGCCTGTCCTGCTTAGAAGGTTTAGGATAGAAAAAGTTGCTAATTACATAGTGCTCTTACACTGTACGTGAAATTCCACAAAGCTGAAAGGGACAAGCTGGTGCACTGGGCTCCCGCCATTGTGGAGAGTACGGGATATTGAATGAATAAATGGTGAAAGATTGATACTATTAGGGTATCGAACTAGTAAAATAACTTCTAAATATAAATTGGACATCAAAGTTGATATTTGGGACAATTGAGCTTATAGTCGTTGGAGCATGGTTGTCAAATTGTGATTCGTATATTGAATAAGAATTCTAAATTAGAGAATTGTGAATCGTAAGATTTGATACAAAATTTGAATAAAAAAAAAAAATAATATTTACATATTTAAAATAGGTAAAATATTAAATATTGAACATTATTGCATTCTAAAAATAATCAATTGACATAATCACGTCATCTAAAAGGAAAGACGCTAGCTTTTTGCTTAAGTTCCTTGTATGATTTTCATTTAGTAATTTTTCAAAGTAATTCTTATACCTTTCCTTAACTTCCTAGTTTGCACCAAAACCCTGGAATCTGTGCTCTTACTACACTTAAAAAATTTCAATCTCTAGTTTTTATTTCTCTTAATTTAGCAAGTTTATATATACTCTTCTCGTCCTCCTTTGTGTTTAGTTTAGATCATCACAAGTTGTATATCTAGCATTTCTTGCACTATCTTTCTTATTTCTTTAATTGCCAGCTTGCAACTTTTAAAGCTTTAATCATTTTTAGTTTTGTGCTACGTTTTAGAGCACTTTTTTTTTTTTGCATTTACTGCAATTTGTACCTCATCATTTCACTCCACCATTAAGTTTCTGTAGCTAATGACTTCAATGGATACTTTATTAATGTCTTACCATTGTATTTTATCACATTTGTGTCATATTTTGAGTTTCACGTCATATTTTGAGTTTCACGTTATATTTTTTAAATGTTTTATTCTTGAACATGTCTCTTTCTCCTTTTAATTCTACCAGTTTAATCCTTTTTTTTCCAAGTCTTCAATGATTTTAATGAACACATCTTGTATCAGTCTTCTACACTGTGTGGTTAAGGTCAAAAAAAAAAATTGTTTGATTTTTATTTAATTGACTTTGAAAAGTTAGTACATGTTCATCCCTCTTTTTGGTATAAAATAAGTATTTGCTACATGGGATCATATGCAATAACAAATCCTAAGGTAGAATCTCTAGTATCCTCCCCATCTCCGAATTCATATCCACTAAGTATCTTCTGATATCTGACTCAATATTCCTATGTATACTCTCTCTTCTATAAGTATTGCTCTTATTAATTCAACCATTTCCTTCCAAAATTTAGATGGGTTCATCTAATTCTATTTGAGATGCATAAACACTATTGTACTTTCCCTATTACACGTTTAATTAATATTTGTCTATCTCATTTTCTAAAAACAATTACCACTTCCAACTTAAGATGCTAATCTACTATTATTCTTACTCCATTTCCATGTCTATTTTTTTTAGTATAGTAAAGTTTGTAACTTACTTTTCTATTTTTGTCACTTTAACCCCTACCTACTTAGTTTCTGGTGAGCATGCTATATTAAATATTCTTCTAATGATAGTTTCAGTTAACTTCATTTCTTTACCTGCTAGTGTTCCTATATTCAAAGTTATTGTCCTAATATTTAGTATTTTGACTAACTTCTTTACCTGTTCTCGTCTAGAGTGACATTGGAATCCTTGCATATTTTATATTGTATTTGGACGATTTCCTTGCCTATTTTTCAAAACAAATGCGTGCAAATGCAAGTGGGAGAATGACCTAGTATTTAAGCAAATATTCCTAGGATTCATGTTCATATTGGGTTTGACAAGCTTTACGTAGACTATCTTAGGAATATAACACAACCCTCTTTCTTTATAATGACTTTGGAGTTGGGAACGACTGTGCAAAAGACTACCGTGTTGGAGTTATGGAAAGTATACATGTTTGTTGAAGAATATTCTGGTGTGTTTGGATTGCATCTCAAAAAATAGTATCCGAAAACAATTTTTAGGAAGAGTTTTAGAAAAATGTGTTTTGATGTTTTTTGTATCGCAGAATTTGTTTAATTATATGATTTTTAAAATAGTTCTACGAAACATAAAACTTATTTGGATAGTAACCCATAAAACAATGAAAACAAANATTTTTTGTATCGCAAAATTTGTTTAATTATATGATTTTTAAAACAGTTCTACGAAACATAAAACTTATTTGGATAGTAACCCATAAAACAATGAAAACAAAATTGATTTTTGGATTGACTATTTTATATACAAAATTTTCAGATTATTAACTTCATATACAAGTTCTAACATAATAATACAAGTTCAAAATCAAGACCAAAAGGATCATTTAAATTAATATAAAAGGGATGGGTTGTAAAACCCCCATTGGTTTTGTTGTTGAAGGAAATTTTTTTATACACTAAATTACGAAAATAAATTTCATATTCATCAGTTTCGTTCTTCACACACATAAGCAAAAAGGCTTTTCAAAATAAATTTTGTTCGACATATTAGGTCAACAAAAAAGATTAATTCGTTCATAGCCAACAAATGTGATTTCGTTCAAACCCAACAAATGCTAGCCATAGATCGTACAAACCCAACAAATGTTAATTTGTTCAACTAGTGGTCTAATAGTCATTCAAATCTTTTGCTTTGGGGGCCAAAAAAAAAAGATTTAAGCTTTATTTTGTGTGGTGGAAAAAATGATATGCCCGAAGCATGCCTTCCCATAGATCTAGCAAACCCACAGATCTAGCAAAACCCTTGTTCACTCTTTAATTCCATATCTAGCAAATCCAAACAAAACCCAAAAAAATGCCTTATACAAACCCAAATCGAGAGCTATTTCAGATCTAGCAAACCCCAAAAAAATCAAGGAAAAAAAAACATTAAACCCAAATCTATGGTTTAAATGAGTAGTCGGAGCAATGCATCAGATTTGCTAGAGTTATGCATCAGATTAGTTGGAGCTGCCTCCCGGTTGCTGGAGCTATGCATCAGATTCATTGCACCGTTGAACAAATCTATGGTGTTGGCAAGAGAGAGAGGATGTGAGCGACTATCGAGGAGAGAGAAAACACAAAAAAAGGCTTTTATATGGGTACATTAAGTGCACACTAAACACGCCCTTGCTTGTTCTTCGTGTTTTCACAATTCTCCTTTTTTTTTTGTCGTCAAAACACCCAAAACACTTTTTTCCTATTTCCTAAAATCTGTCTTCAGTCTTTCTTTTTTTTTTTTCAAAAAGCTGTTCTTAAAAATTCCTCGGTCCAAACAGGTTTTGACCATATATTTGTAATCTGAAAAACAAAAAACAGTTTTGCGAAACCAAACCAAACCAAACATGCCGTTTGTTTATGATGTTTACAATTGGAGTAATGTGAAATCAATAGTTATAGTTGGAGGTGCAATATGAGAAGCCTGATATTTGAGTGGCAAAGTTAAAATAGTAACCATAGTTGAGTTGTAATGCAAGAAACGCCATATTTGAGGGAACATAGTTGAGGGGTGCGAAGTATAATCTTTCCTATATTATCTCATTTACCACGAGAAAAATCTAATCTTACCCTAGTACATCTTGGCGTAAAAGAAGTGCCAGATGTTGATTCAGTAGATCCGGCCGGTTGAACAGGCGGAGCTAGCAGCACAAAAGCAACAGTAGTGGGAAGCTTTATTTATTGTTGAGAGAATGAGGAGTGAATCAAAAGGCTTCCATTTCTGTTCTTGGTTTGGGGGCTTTCGGGCCCAATAGAAAATGTGAGCATAATAGTGAAACAAGATTGTGTAGGTCACTCTATATTGTTCAGACAAGGTTTTGTTAAGTTTTTTTCTTTGTGTTTTTAATAAATTTTGTGCATAGTTTAGATATTTAAGTTGAAATAATAAAAGTGATATTAGGTTTAGAAGAAAGAAAGAGAGAATAATTTTTTTGTGTAGGCTAGGTTGCCATGCACTTTTTTTNTATGGTGTTGGCAAGAGAGAGAGGATGTGAGCGACTATCGAGGAGAGAGAAAACACAAAAAAAGGCTTTTATATGGGTACATTAAGTGCACACTAAACACGCCCTTGCTTGTTCTTCGTGTTTTCACAATTCTCCTTTTTTTTTTGTCGTCAAAACACCCAAAACACTTTTTTCCTATTTCCTAAAATCTGTCTTCAGTCTTTCTTTTTTTTTTTTCAAAAAGCTGTTCTTAAAAATTCCTCGGTCCAAACAGGTTTTGACCATATATTTGTAATCTGAAAAACAAAAAACAGTTTTGCGAAACCAAACCAAACCAAACATGCCGTTTGTTTATGATGTTTACAATTGGAGTAATGTGAAATCAATAGTTATAGTTGGAGGTGCAATATGAGAAGCCTGATATTTGAGTGGCAAAGTTAAAATAGTAACCATAGTTGAGTTGTAATGCAAGAAACGCCATATTTGAGGGAACATAGTTGAGGGGTGCGAAGTATAATCTTTCCTATATTATCTCATTTACCACGAGAAAAATCTAATCTTACCCTAGTACATCTTGGCGTAAAAGAAGTGCCAGATGTTGATTCAGTAGATCCGGCCGGTTGAACAGGCGGAGCTAGCAGCACAAAAGCAACAGTAGTGGGAAGCTTTATTTATTGTTGAGAGAATGAGGAGTGAATCAAAAGGCTTCCATTTCTGTTCTTGGTTTGGGGGCTTTCGGGCCCAATAGAAAATGTGAGCATAATAGTGAAACAAGATTGTGTAGGTCACTCTATATTGTTCAGACAAGGTTTTGTTAAGTTTTTTTCTTTGTGTTTTTAATAAATTTTGTGCATAGTTTAGATATTTAAGTTGAAATAATAAAAGTGATATTAGGTTTAGAAGAAAGAAAGAGAGAATAATTTTTTTGTGTAGGCTAGGTTGCCATACACTTTTTTATTTATAATTGAGTAATATTCAGGTAATTGCAA